TCGAGGTGAACCATTGATCCCCTACGATCCAGAGTTGAGTAAGACTTTGAGAAAAATGAATAATCAAGGGGTTCACAATAATCCTGATGGAGAGGTTCAAGGAGATAGAGATGGGTTGCAACCACCTAGAGTCACTAATGTGCCCACTCAGGTTCATGGTGGTAATCAACTTGTAATGCCGAAAGGGTATAAAATTTGCTAACTCCAAGGTTTCGTGGGCATTACAGGGTTGATTATGATGCGACAACCTCATATGGTCCTATTGTTCTTCTGCCTCTACCTCCAAGTCACACATTTGTGGTAACCAACAGTTTGATATAGATGCTTACAGCGAGAGGGTTGTTTGCTGGGTTGGCTTTGGAGGATCCCTATGCTCATATGGCTAAACTTTCCAGTGTGTGCAAAAGTTGTGTTGGGCGACCATAGTTAGATATGGATGTTATAAGTCTGAGGATCTTTCCACTATCATTGACCAGTGATGCTGCGGTGTGGTTTTATGAGCTACCATACAATTCGATCTACACTTGGGACCAAATGCACAAAGTGTTCACAACAAGGTATTTTCCAGTGTCCAAAAAGCTAACTCGTAAGGATAAACTGAACAACTTCGCAGCACTACCAGGAGAGTCTATCAGCAGTTCTTGGGATAGGTTCACCGGATTCATTAGAAATGTTCCAAATCACCACATTGATGATGAGTCATTGAAGGAGTATTTCTATATAGGGCAGGATAACAATGGAAGAATTGTACTATATACTATTGCTGGAGGATCATATTGTGAGTGCACCTTTGAGGAGATCGGTGAAAAGCTTGAGAGGATTTCCAAAAACAACAAAGCCTGGTGCACTAGAAAGGCAAATACTGGTAGGCCCAGAACTTCACCCAACCAAGCCAATGATGACATTCAGGATGAGATGGCACAGATGAGAACAAAATTGGGCTTGGTACTAACACATGTGAGTGGTAGTGTGGAAAAGGTAAATATTGTGAATTATCTAACTAGATCTCTACCACCACCAGTTGAGGAGCACTACTATGAGGAGGATGCAAACTTGGTGAATGATCAGACGGAGGGTTTCCAAACCAACGCCCAAGGTTCTAACTCGAATAATTGGTGCCAAGGTCAAGGAAGCCAAAGTCGTAACTATGGAGGTTAGAACCGTGAGGGAAACTATGTCCGGGATGGGAACTACAATCGCGACAACAACTACAACTCAAACAACTATGGCAACAAGAATGATAAGGCTGGTCCCTACACCCCTCCTAGAAATAGAAATTTTGGTAACACTACGCCACACATTGAGGATATGATGCAAATGATGATGATGAGGTTTGATGCAACTGATGAGAATATGAAAGTGATGTGAAATAACTTGTCTGAAATCGGTCAAAAAGTTGATGCACATGTAGTGTCGATCAAGCAACTTAAGAAGCATATTATTCAGTTGTCCACCAATGCAAATCCACGTCAGCCTGGCACACTCCCGAGCAACAATATCCAGAATCTGAAAAATGATGGGCATTGTATGGCAGTCACTACTTACGGAGGAAAGTAGACCATTGACCCACCCATGCCGTCTGAGGTTGAAAAAGTGGTAGAGAATGATGAAGATGAGATTAAGGTTACTGAAGTCCCAAAAGATACTGCTGAAATAAAGTTGAGATGACCCAAAAAGTTGTTGCTATGCCTAGACCCCCGCCTCCATTCTCACATAGACTGGTGAAAAAGACCGAATAGGGTAAATACTGCGGGTTCATAACTATGTTAAAGCAGTTTTCCATCAATGTTCTGTTGATAGAAGTCTTGGAGCAAATGTCTGGGTATGCGAAATTCATGAAAGAATTGGTGACCAAAAAGAGGGTTGTGAGTTTTGAGAATGATGAGAAAATGCAACATTGCAGTGCCATTGCTACTAGGTCACTTGTGCAAAAGAAAGAGAATCCTAGAGCTTTCACTATTCCTTGTACCATTGGGATGTTACACTTTTCAAAAGATTTTTGCGACTTGGGTACCAGTATTAATCTGATGTCACTTTCTATCTACAAGAAGTTAGGTTTAGGGGCTCTAAAACCGACTGCGATGCGTCTACTCATGGCCGAAAGAACTGTGAAAAAGCCAATTGTTGTGCTCCAAGATGTACTTCTGAAAGTGGAATCATTTATTTTTCCGTCAGATTTTGTGATACTTGATTGTGAGGTTGACTTTGAGGTTCCTATCATCTTAGGGAGACCATTCCTTACTACTAGGCGTGCCTTAGTCGACATGGAGAGAGGACAGATAAAGTTCTGACTGAATAATGAGGAGGTGACTTTTAATATCTGTAGGTCTATGAAGCAGGAAAGTAATCTTAAGTCGGTATCAGTGGTAAATTATATTGTGGAGCAAGGTTCTGAAGTGTCTATTAAAGAGAGGTTGGGTGTTGATGCACTGTCAGCGGTAATAATGAATTTTGATGTTGATGGTATTGATGACTATGATTAGTTGTTGCACTTGATAGGTTCGAATTCCATTCTAAACCAAAAAGATTGGAGTTAGATATGAAGAATCGTGAATCCCCTATTGCAAAACCGTCTGTGGAAGAGCCTCCAAAACTGGAACTCAAGGCTCTACCATCACACTTGAGGTATGTATTCTTGGGGAGAGATAGCACATTACCAGTAATCATTGCTGTGGATTTGAGCGAGGAGCAAGTTGAGGCCTTAGTTTCTGTTTTGAAGAGGTTCAAGAGGGCTATTGGATGGACTATTGCAGATATTATTGGTATTCCACTGGGCAGTTGTTCTCACAAAATCCAACTCATGCCAGATAGTAAGCCACGTATTGAGAACCAAAGGAGATTGGATCCATCTATGTAAGAGGTTGTGAAAAAGGAGGTCATTAAGTGGTTGGATGTTGGAGTCATATATCCCACTGCTGATAGCAGTTAGGTTCGTCATGTTTAGTGTGTGCCCAAGAAAGAGGGAATCACCATGGTTCCAAATGCTAAAAATGAGCTTGTTCCAATCAGGTCGGTGACTGGTTTGAGAGTGTATATGGACTACCGCAAGCTAAATGCATGGACTGAGAAAGACAACTTCCTTATGCCGTTTATGGATCAGATATTGGATCGTCTCACTGGTAAGGGTTGGTAATGTTTTCTAGATGGGTATTCGAGCTACAATCCAATCTCCATAGCTCTAGAAGACCAAGAGAATACCACTTTCACTTGTCTTTATGGGACTTTCACATTCAAGAGGATGCCATTTGGGTTGTGTAATGCTCCAGCTAACTTCCAGCGTTGTAGGATGTCGATATTTTCAGATATGGTGGAGGATACGATTGAGGTATTTATGGATAATTTCTCTGTAGTAGGTGACTCATTTGATGGTTGTTTGATGCATCTAGTCGAGGTACTAAAATGATGTGAAGAGTGCAACCTTGTGCACAATTGGGGAAAGTACCATTTCATGGCGAAAAAGGGTATAGTTCTGGGTCATCGAATTTCGCAGAAAGGCATTGAGGTTGATCAAGCCAAAGTTGAGGTAATAGAAAAGCTTCCACCACCCATCTATGTAACAGGTGTTCGATGTTTTCTTGGGCATGCAGGTTTCTATCGGAGGTTCATAAAAGATTTGTCGAAAATTGCACACCCATTGTGCAAACTACTTACAAAGGAGTGTAAGTTTTATTTTGATGCTGCCTGTCTGAGAGAATTTGGAGAGTTGAAGGTCAAGTTAACTACCGCACCTATCATTATTTCACTGGATTGGGGACAACCGTTTGAAGTTATGTGTGATGCGAGTGGGGTGGTGCTTGGGATAGTATTGGGATAGAGGCGATAGAAGATTCTTCATCCGATTTACTATGCTAGCAAAGCTTTGAATGTGGCTCAAAAGAACTATACTATCACTGAACAGGAACTCCTTGCTGTGGTTTTCGCATTCGAGAAATTTAGATCCTACTTGCTTGGTTCTAAGGTCATAATGCATACTGACCATTCTGCATTGAGGTATCTAATGGCTAAAAAGGATGCAAAACCGAGGTTGATTAGATGGGTGCTTATGTTGCAAGAGATCGAATTTGAGGTGAAAGATAGAAAGGGGACATAAAATCAAGTAGCCTATCATTTTTCTAGATTAGAGGAGGAAGCAATGATCAATTTTGAGGATGGTGTTGAGATTAATGATGTGTTCCCTGATGAACAAGTATTGGCGGCTTCTTATGATCTTATCCCTTGGTTCACAAATTTTGGTAACTACTTGGCAAGTGATTTGGTTCCATCGGATTTGTCATTCCGTATTTGTGCTGATGGGATTATTCATCGTTGTGTGCCCGAGGTTAAAATGATGAGTATACTAGAGGCGTCTCATTCATCGCCTGTTGGTAGGCACCATAGTGGTATCCGAACTGCTCACAAAATTTTGCAGTATAGGTATTACTGTCCTACCACCCACCTAGATGCTCATGATTTCACCAAGTCTTGTGCCGTTGCCAAAGAGAAGGAGGAATTTCAAAGAAGCAAGAGCTACCTATGAATATGATATTGTTGATTGAGTTATTTGATGTTTGGGGCCTTGACTTCATGGGTCCATTTGTGAGTTCGCATAGGATGAAGTATATTCTTTTTGCGGTTGACTATGTATCGAAATGGGTGGAAGCAATTGTGCTTTCAAATAATGAGGGAAAGAGTGTCACCGCATTCCTGAAAAAGAGTATCTTCTCCAGATTTGGTACACCTAGGGCGATTATCAGCGATGGAGGTTCTCACTTATGCAACAAGTTGTTCAAGGCGTTGCTAGAGAAATATGGGGTTCGTCACAATGTAACCACTCCTTATCATCCGCAGTCTAGTGGGCAAGTTGAGGTGTCAAACAGAGAGATAAAGCAAACCATTTCAAAGACTATGAACGCCAACAGAACTGATTGGTCAAGAAGGCTTGATGATGCTTTATGGGCCTATCGCATTGCATTCAAAACTCCCATAGGTATGTCACCTTACCATCTTGTAAATGGGAAGTCATGCCATCTGCCTATAGAGCTAAAGCACAAAGCAATATGGGCACGTTGAATTTGGATTGGGGTGCCGTATCAAGTCAAAGACTAAATGACATGAATGAGCTTGATGAGTTTCGCCTAAAAGCATATGAGAGTTCAGCCTTATACAAGGAAAAGATAAATAAGTACCATGATCAAAAGATTGACAAGCGTGAATTTGTTGTGGGTGATCTCGTGCTCTTATTCAACTCAAAGTTGCGTTTGTTTCCTGGCAAGCTCAAGTCCAAGTGGACCAGGCCATTCAAAGTCACTCTAGTATTTCCACATGGGGAGGTCGAGCTTGAGAACAAGGAAGGAACGAGGTTCAAAGTGAACGGGCAGAGGATCAAAGTTTACTTGGGGAAATCTGATAGTGTGCAAGAAGTGATCAAGGCCTACCATCTTGATGAAGTCTGAGTAATCAAGGTGTTCGTGTCGTTTCGCGACGTTAAATTTGGCGTTGCTTGGGAGGCAACCTAAGATCTACAATCTAGCCAACTATAGGAATTTCTTTTCGATTTAGGAGTTTCCTTATTTCTTTTTGATTTCTTGTAGCTCTTTCGATAGGTGTTTTATATTTTTTATTACTGTTGGCTAGATATAGAATAGGGTCCGTGTCTAAAAAGTGTCCAGAAAATGTAAAAAGAAAGTCCTAATGGTTGCTACGTGTGCAAGGACGAAAGGCAAAATCTACAAAAAATAGTTGAGCAATGGTCTACGGACCCCATCGACAGTCTGTTGGTCATTCCACGGACTGTGGATAGCGTCCATAGATCCCAAGTAAGTTTTCTAATTTTTCTAAGTGTCAGAGTGATCTACGGTCCATAGGTCGACCCACGAATCGTCGATGGGGTCTCGTGGGTCCAAGTTAGGGTTCTCCCTGACTCGACCCGGACCCAAATTAATATAACTCTTCACTTTCAAATTCATTTCCCACGTCCATACTTTCTCCCTAGTTGTTCTAAACCTTCCACTTACCTATATTCTTCCATTCATAACCCCCATATCACTCCCCAAATGAATTACACAAATCCCATACTTCCTTTCTTCTCTCCCAAATCATTCCAACACTCCCATCTTCTACCCCAAGCGATTGCACGGTCTGAGTTTGGTGTCCAGGTCATTATAGGAATTTTTACGGTCGATCACACACTCACCATTGTTGATTACTTGTAAGGTAAGTTGATTTCTCCTAAACTTCGAACATTTCATAGTTTCATATTGAAATTACAAACAATGAACTTGACCTTAGGTTGTTAAATCGAGTGTGTGAATGTTAAATTATTGTCTAGAAACACCCTTGTAATGATAGTGTGTGAGTGTGTAAGTAAATTCAACCAAATTTGTAGGTTGTTAGGTCTAATAAGAGGTTTTAACTTAGGATTTCATTGTTTTGGTTGTGTTAAAAGTTGAACTGTGTGCAAATTGGAACCCTAAGGATGATGAACTACTGAATAATGTGTTGAAATGCATGTTTAGACTTAACTTGAGTCATTACTTCGTGAAATTGTGCATTGACTAAAAGTTGAGGGTTAACCTGACACAAAACTGACCCACGACTTCAACCCACGGACCATAGGTCGAGGTCCGTGGAACAGTGGCACACATATAATTTCTGAAGTGTAAAACCACGGTGTGGACTACGGTCCGTCGTTTGATTGATGAACCGTTCTGCACATCCTTGGTTCCAACATCCTAGACCTAAAAAAAGGGGAACTCTGACCTACGGAGGGGACACACAAATCGTCGTTCCATGGATGAACCGTAGGTACCCACCATGGGTCACAAGTTCAGCTGTTGTCCGGGTCCGAATCTTGTTCCAAAATTATTACATGAGTCTTATGGCCTTGTTTTTATACTAACTAAGCTTCCACAGGTACCATGGCCCCTAAACAAGCACCACAATACGCCAAGAAGGGGAAGTCCAAATTTGTTGCCCCTTCCCGATGCTTGTTGGATGAGGACACTGATATGGAGTATGTTCCACCGAACACTAAGGTCTCCCCCACTGCCCCCGCACTACTAAAAAATAGAGTCCAGCAGGTTAGCTCTGATGAGGTCACTGCCCTCATTTTAAGGAGGGGGCCATACAGATCGAGGCATAGTCTGGCTCAAAGTCGCAGTCCGGCTCTAGTTCTAGCGGTAGTCCCGCTTCGTCCTTCGATACCGATAATTCAAGAGACAGCCCGATACCTGCCCCCAATCCTGATGAGCCAAACAGATGGTGTGTCCCTGGTCAGTATCAGATATATAATAATGGCACGATGTTGAATAAGCACCGAAAGATGGACATGATCATGACTGAGGAGCGCACGGTCCTTACAGGCAGCCTCCACACTGCACCAACTATTGAGGAGTTTTTTCAGAGACATCGATGCGAGTTGATGGCACAAAGCCTCGATAAATACAGCGAGGAGATGACCAGAGAGTTCTATGACTCTTTTGCTAAAATGGGCCATGCCCGTTGCTCAGCCTCCACTTCAGTCCTTATTGGTGTGGGGCATCCCGGTCGACAACTCAGAGGTCACCATTCACAGGTTTATATATGGCCCAGCCCACACTCTGCCTATTAATACAGCAGAGTATGACTACAAGATGGGGATAATTTTAAGCGGGGCATTTCAGAGTTATGTCGAGCAGAGGGAGACACTATTGAGGTGTTTGGCCTGTCATATTGCCGAGGATGGGGAGCGCACTGAGTGGGTACAGACCCCTAGTCTAGGTATTAGGAAGGAGACTATGAGCTTCGCTGCGAAGTTCTTTTGTCTATTGGTTTGGACTTGACTGTCCCCTACTCAGGAGGATAATATGGTTACATGGGACCGGCTCGTGATGATTGCAGCCATTATAGAGGGTTTGAAGATCGACTTTGCCCGCATCTTGATAGTAAAGATCCACGAGAGAGCCTTCAAGACCACCACCACCCTGCCCTTCCCATTTTTCAGCTCTACAGGTACGCTTCAGTGCCCGTGTGGTATTGCGACATGATGCTTGAGGCCAAGACATTGGGCATTGGCCTCATTCGGGATAATGCCAACCTTGTTGCACCTCGGAGGGAGCCATAGGTTGAGGTACCATATTTGGGTGATGATCTTGTTGCAAATGTGGAGAAGATGCAGGCTGATGACACTATCATTCCAGCCCCTACAGTGGATGCCCAAGCTCCACCCAATTCGGCCACTAGTCAGGCCTTGAGCTCCTCCTGAGCCACTCCCCCTTTAGGGTCTACTGTCATTCCTCTAGCTCGAGTCCAGAAGTTGGAGACACAAATGGCCACCTTGCTATAGCATATAAGGTTGTGGATGCAGCAATCTATTGAGGAGTCTAAGGCCACGATGGAGAAGATGATGGATCAAAATATTCAGGATGTTCATAAGCACCGAGATGCTTTTGAGTTGCAAGTGCTCGAGAGGCCTGCCCCGCTATTGATATGACCACCTTCCAGACGGAGTTGGCTAGCCTCCGCGCTGATGTTGATGCCTTCCTAGCCCCTCCTGAGACTACACTAGAGGCTACCCCTACAGAGAAAGAGGATGATGAGGTGATGACTGCCCTATTCGGCGAGGGTATGCCATCACCAGACTCTTCTCGTGCTGCTGGGAAGCACCACCGCTCCAACCACACTTCCGATGCTGATGAGGCTCACAGATTGCAGAAGAAGAAGCACCAGCAAGTCGCGGTAGCCCAAAAGGAGTCCATCCTGGATAAGAAAAGGAGACAGCAGCAGGCCCGTGGGATAGGTGTTGGCCCATCTGGCAGTCTGAGAACTACTGTGGGTGCTACTTTAGTTGGTGAGGGAGCTACTGATGGCGTCCCTAGTGTTGATCCAGCGGGCTCCGGGAAACCAAACCCACCCACTTCTTGAGAGGTCTTCGGCGCATTTGCACCACAGGTTTGCTTCAGCCTATGCTTTATTTTTTATTTTTGTGCATTGAGGGCAATTGCACCTTAGTTTGTTGGGGGTGGGGTAAATGGATTGTGAGTGATAGAGTGAAGTCTGAGTAACCCAACTTATAATCCTCTTTTGGGGTTTTCTTTCCTGTGTTATTTTCCCCAAAATGATTGTTTACTTTTACGTTGAACCGGCATGTTTAGGAATGTATGTGTAGGAGTAAGTAGAAGAATAAAAGCATGATGGCATAAAGAGCATGAAATTGATACCCGTCCAAAAGTTTTGAATTGTGCTAGATCTATAGGCTTGATGAGTTGAACGTGTTGGATCTCAATATGACATTATAAGGAACCGGCTTCACCTCATGACGTAAGCTTAAACTTGAACTGGGTAATCTAATAATTTGATAATGAAACGATGTGCCAAGTGTATGTGAGAAAAGTTTGAATGTTCATACGGTATGTGCCAATCTAGAACTTGCCCCATTGGTCCTGCGAAGATAATCTAGGCTAGAAGCTGGGAAATGATCATAGGCCATTGTTCAAATAAGTCCACTCAAGCCTAAAATGATCTAACCAAAAGAAGTAAATGTTCCCTTTGATCCAAATGTTTGAGACTAATGTTGACCACTTCTTTCAATACACCTAACACACCTTCCCTAAAATAATTGTTTTGGCCCTAGTCCCTCCTTGGACATGTGCACCTTGACTTAGGCCAAAAGCCTAAGTTGAGGGTGACTGATTCAAAAAGTTACCTTGATCTTGGCCCTGGTCCGACATCGGATAGTGTGCACCACAACTCATGCAAAATACATAAGTTGAGGGTGGCTATGAAAAAGGAAACTAAAAGAAAAGTGGGTATGAAAAGAGTTTTGTGTTTAAGAGAGAAAAATAAAAGAAAATATAGAAAAAGATGTAACTTTGTTCAAAAGAAGCAAAAAGATGAATGACAAAAGTGGTAAAAGAAACAAAAAAAATGAAGTAAAAGAAAAAGAAGAAAAGTGAAAAATATGAGTTAGAAAGTCAAAAGTCACATCTGTATTGAAAAGAGTCAAGAGAAAGAAAAGAAAATGAAAAGATGTCAAGAATTGTTTAAGGCAAGAGGTAAAAAGTCAATGTAATGTCAAGGAGGGCAGAAAAGTCACTAAAAAGTACCCAAATGTACCATACCTCACCTTGAGCCTACGTTACAAGCTAAGAAAGTCCAATAGTGATCCTAGTGACTAGTTTGGAGAGTCTATGCAGTGAAAATAAGGGCAAGCCTATGGTATTGAGCACTAATTGTACTTGAAGTCACTTCTGAGCATGAGTGTTGAATGAATCCTTAAAACTTGAAATTCATATATATTGTGTGAAAAGGGGATTTCTTTTAAAGTGAGGGCACTAGTTACATTGTTGGAAAATTAGTACCTTGGTGATTGTGAAAAGTGTTTGTTGCGGTGTCTATTGGTCGATCTATGTCATGTTTTGATCCACATGAGTTAGGTTGTTGAGTCTAGATGAAAGTATTTACACTAATGTGATGG